TACCCTACCTTTAAGTGTATTATATTAGAAAAATAAAACAATTAAACCTTAGAAAATACAACATTTTGTTTAAAAAAAATTGTCTGCAGAGTTTTTTTTAAAGAAAAACCTGTCTTTTCTTAGGCATATTGATGGAGTAGTCATAGACCAACATGAGCACGTACAGTTTACAAAGCAAAAATAAAAATGTTGAGCATGTGCATCTCAATATCGATCTTTTCTGTGTGTGTTGTAATGTTGTGATCCTAATCCCAATTTTTCTAAATGTACTGGTAATATGATCATGTATTATACAATTTATGTAACTCCAAGGGAATACGGTCTCCTTGTTTTGTATCCTCCTGATTACTGTACGTAATTGCATTACTTGAAATCCATTACTCCCCAAGCCTGTCCATGGCATCCTCACATCTCAGTGGCAATAAAGATTCAGCTGGGAGGATTAATTTCCTGAACAATCTACCAGTTGAATGCTGAACTCCTACATAAAGACAAGTCCTGCTCATTGAATGCCTGATGCCGCACTATGTTTCACATCTAGACTGGTTTGATTTAAGAAGCTGAAAAATAGATATACAATTCAACTGCACTTCTCTTATAAGGGCATTTGGTGGTGGTGGTGGTGTGTATGCAGTGTCATAATGTAACAGCTGAATGCTACCCTCTAGTGGTTGGTTTATGTTCATGCACCTGACAAAACTGCATTACTGACATAAGTGCTAAACAATCGAAGTATAAAACCCAAGAACCTTTGACACACAGAACATGTATGAGTAACTATTGCAATTAGCAAGAAGAATTGTAAAAAATTAATAAAAAAATTGTAACGCAAAAGATAAAGTTAATTGCAGAGAAGAACAATTGGCAGTAACTGCGCACTGCACGGAAAATGAAATATGACTTTAATTTAATATGGGTCTCACAGGAGGCACTCGCAGTAATCCTCCACCGTCTCCAAGTGCCAAATCTTGGCACCAAACTGACCTTTTTTAGGCTCTCTGGTCAGGTTATAGTTATTTAGTGTTCAGAGGCCTGTACTACGAAGCCGGATTTTCGCTTAGCGAGCTAACTTCAGGGAAAACTCTGGGTTTCCGGTACTACGAGCTGGTTCACTTCATACCGGGCTAGATCTCCATGGTAACTTATGCTGAACGGCTAACCTGCTCCGGAGCAGAGGCCTGTACTACAAAGCGGGATTTTCGCTTAGCGAGCTAACTTCAGGGAAAACTCTGGGTTTCCGGTCCTACGACGCTGGTTCTCTTTTTAGCGGGCTAGATCTCCATGGTAACTTATGCTGAACGGCTAGCCTGGTCCGGAGCAGTTATAGGTTCCAGGATAAGAGATCAAATTAGTGAAAGCACCGTCTGCTGACCAATCAGAGCTCAGTGTGCGGAGTTTAAAGCGATCAAGTCATATTACAGGAGAAAGGAAATACAGTTTAGACTGCCGTTGCAGGAAAGACGGCCGGCAAAAATCAACTAACTGTGTGAATGTGAAAATGAATAGAATATCACCTCCCATCTTCAGAGCAATCTGACTATTATAACATTAGCGTTAAGAAAGCTTACTTAAATATCTGCCACAACATAAGTAACCGGATCAAAGTAACATTACGTACAGTCCGCGGCACTGTGAGTGCAGACGTCGATGTGTCCCATTATCATTCATATCACATCATATCACATCATAATGTATCATATATTTCCTTATCTGAGTCAGCTTCTTGAGCCGTATCTGGCCGTGCAACACAGTGTCACATACTGTATGCAGAAGTATTATTTTAAGCAACACATTAAGTTGACGAAACACTCGAGTCAAATGTAATTAAAGTCAGATCCACTCGTGTCTTAGACGGGGCAGTGATATCATAAACTTGTTAATGTACGCATTCAAACACTTTTTCTTTTACCAGCTGTATTCACCTTGCAGGTGCAGCTATGTGTCTTTTATCCTGGATAAAGTGTTTAAGTCATGAAAGTTTAACTTCTTCATATGTCTAATATTATAGTTCACTTTTCATTCAGGAAGCTAGACGCTGCGCTGTCAGGGCGCTTCTCCATGTTTGTGATTGGTCAAATGTTGCTAGCCCCGCCCCTTTTATGTGAACGCGCACATAGGGCAAAACTGGCTTGAGTTAACGAGTTGATAACCAGCGTCGTAGGACCGTTTAGCGAGAGCGCGTTTGTTTTGGATTAGGTCAGTGTTTCTCAAAGTGGGGGGCACGCCCCCCCTGGGGGGCGCAGAGGCATGACAGGGCCGGGCGCGAGAGACCAGGAGGAAAAATGGTTATTAAAAAAATTAATTAAATAAATAAAAAATCATAATTTGAAACATTATTGATTCGAAAATAATATGATACAGTACAGTACAATTACTTCTGGGTCTCTGTGTTTCATTCAAGCTCGGCTCTGTGTGTGTGTGGAACAGTGGCGAGCCGTCAGGGCCCTCTAGGCCCTCTGTGAGGGCCTAAGATATTCCAAAAAATAATATTTAAAAACATTAAAAAAAAATATATTTTTTAAAAATAAATTTTTTTTTAATATTATTTTTGTTATATTTTTCATTAGTTTTACCGAAAAAAAACTTGATTTAATAAAATAACATTTCCAAAGAAATAAATCCTTCGAATCTGCCTGTTCAGTCTCTGTTTGAATGTCAGTTACTATAGCGGGCCTCTCTGCGATTCACAGAGGGCCCGCTATAGTAACTAAACGAGAGAGTAATGTCAAATGACAGTACAATTGACCAATCATATCTTCCCTCTAAATGGGTGGGTTTTATTATCGCGGACTTTATGACGAGTTCCACCCGCTGTGAAACTTTTCTTGTTTCCATAGCAACAACAACTTCCTGTCAACAGCGTGAACTCGCCTTCAAAATAAAAGCATGCCAAATTACACTTAAGACATACAACTGCAATGAAAGTAACAAACACAATGCAATATCATTTTCAATGTCAAAGAACACAAATTGGGTTCACAGGTGTTGTTTTGTGTGGTAGAGGGTCGCTGTCATTGATGCGTTTTGCACCCTAGGCCGTTGTTTTGATATTCCGCTGAAGTATACGCTGTGACGTAATAACGTCTTTTTTTCGAAGGAAGGGGTGGGGGTCAGAGGGCCTAGGTATAAAGCTCACGGCTCGCCACTGGTGTGGAACGAGCCATTTTGTGTGCGTGAGCGAGCGAGAGAGAGAGAGAGAGAGAGAGATAGGGAGCGCACCGGTACCGGAGATCGTTGTTGTTAGCTTCTGGTGCTAGCGTGCTACGCTAACGGATATAAGGAGCTTTTTCAACAACTGAACTAAAGGACTCTCTGAGTGTTTAGATAGTTAACTTTAGTCTAAGTTATCTCAGTGGGTCTCAAATGTTTTGGTCACGATTAATGTAAACAATTATTTCCGAGGCACACATTTATAAATAAGAGAATGAGTGAAAAACAGGTTTGAAATACTATATGACAGTAAAAAAAGAATAAAGTTTAAAAGGGTGATTTGTAAAATATCCATAAAGAAAAAGAAAATCTGTTTACAGTTCTGTTTCAAATGGGTGTTGAGAGATGTAATGAAGAGATCTACGGACCAGATTGATGCATTTAACTTCAATATTTAAAAAAAAATCTTCCCGGGGGAGCATGCCCCCGGACCCCCCTATGTGAGGTCCACACACCACCTATAAAAATAGCACTTTACCCCTGCTTACACCTAGGTGAGCTGATTATCGAGCCTTCATTGTAAGAGTCGCTGGTGTACTGTGTATTTGCGTGGGGATTGTTGCAGTAGAGAATTCCACTGTAGCGACCGGTACATTAATGGGAAACCCTAAATGTTTGAGCACCCTCTATGAAACGTCAAGCTACCCCACAGCACCCCCAAAAGAAATCTCTGGCGCCGCCACTGAGCCTGCAACCCCGTTTTGAAGAAATGTGCAGTGCAACACAAGCTCATTGCAGACACTAATGATAAGACACACTTTTTTGCCAAATATCAGCATTTTCTTTCTTTTCATTTTTTTGCACAGATTGCAAAGTGGCAAAGTATTATAACGTATTGTTCTAGCAAAGGGATTGCACAATTGTATTATGTATTTATTTTTTTGACCACACAGAATTATGGAGCATTGTTTTATTATCACTGTTCCAGCAAAGTGATTTTTTTAGTTTTTTGAAAATTCCTTTCAAAAAACTAAAAAAATCACTTCCATATTGATGTATTTTAATAAATGTGAACTTGGCTCATTACGTGACTATTTGTGTTGGGGGGGCCCGACTTTTTTTTTCTCCAAAGGGGGGGGGGGGGGGCCTGTTTGAGAACCAATGGATTAGGTAAACCGGGTAACTCAAACATATCCAGGTTATGTTGAACCGGCTTCGTCGTACAGGCCTCTAGTCTCTGTATTGATGTGATTGTATTTTTTTTAATATTGTTTTAAATTAAACACCATATTTGTATGTATGTGTATGAAAGTACTAAAGAGACAAAACCATAATACAATAACTGTTTAACTGCAATTCAATTGAGTCTTGTGTAACAAAATATGTTTTTTAACATGCCTCTGTTCAAGACCAGTATTAAATTAAACGTCAACTGGGTACTCAGTAGGCTATTAGAATCTGACATTGTGTAATCATTTTTGTTTGAAATTAGAGTTTTGCTTTTGAAAAAGGCATTTCAGTTATTTTTTTCTAATTTAAATTTGTTCCTTTATAATGTTGCTGATTTCTCGTTACGTTGTCTTTTTGATTCTGTCATTAATAACATTGTGATATAACAACCTATTATAAGAATCGAGGGTGCCAAAGGACAGTGTTTGGCGAAGATACTATGACAGCTATTTCATAATGTTTCCATTTTCATTGTTTACCAAACGATTCCACCACTGGTGTCTTTGTCAGGAGCTGGTGGCTCCAGTTAGTACTGCCCAATCAGAGTCCACCTCACTTCCCAGGCCCGCCTTTGCACGGATATCATTGGTTACATTTTAATAAATAGTGGTCTTATGGGCGGAGCCTCTAGCCTTGAGGTGAGTTTTGTTCCAGCGGTTACATGATAGCCTGCACCTGGAAGAGCAGCCTGCCTCCTCTTCTGTCGGCCTGTCTACCGGTGAGTGAGCTACGGTACATTAGTGAATCTCTAACGGGATTTTTAACCTGGTAGGCCTACAACTTGTGTTTACGGTTAATGCACTACCTCTGTGTATATTTATATAGCACCGTTAAGGATACACATGAGTATGAGTACTGAGCGTTTAACCCAGTTATTTCCGCTTACTTCGTCAGAGAAGGGGCACGTGCAAAAGATAAAGATTTGTATTTCACTAAAAAAAGAGGTAAACGGTTTCATTGTTTATGTCGTTATGAAACGCTGGGTCGCCTCCCCCCTCTTCCCACTTGCCTGTGTGACAAGCTGCTGTTAACATGCTAACACGGACATGTTGGACTGGACAACAGAGAGTCTCTTCATGCAACATAGTTATTAAATGATAGTAATATTGTTTCTGTGCGCATATGTATGACATACATGAAGTACTTGCATCATTACATTTGCTCTAGAGTCGTGTGTGTGTGTGTGTGTGTGTGTGTGTGTGTGTGTGTGTGTGTGTGTGTGTGTGTGTGTGTGTGTGTGTGTGTGTGTGTGTGTGTGTGTGTGTGTGTGTGTGTGTGTGTGTGTGTGTGTGTGTGTGTGTGTGTGTGTGTGTGTGTGTGTGTGTGTGTGTGTGTGTGTGTGTGTGTGTGTGTGTGTGTGTGTGTGTGTGTGTGTGTGTGTGTGTGTGTGTGTGTGTGTGTGTGTGTGTGTGTGTGTGTGTGTGTGTGTGTGTGTGTGTGTGTGTGTGTGTGTGTGTGTGTGTGTGTGTGTGTGTGTGTGTGTGACTGTGACCAGAGAACAGTTAGCGCGCGCGTGCGTAGCTGACCAGAGAACAGTTAGCTTTATTTATTGACTTTACTTTATGGTATGCCACATCTCCATGGACATGAACTTTAATTCCCAATTACCTCAGATCTGTTTGTTAATGTTTGGCTTGTGGAACGTGTTGTTTGTCCTTTCATGGCATGTTCACATTGAAACACTTCTTAAAAGAGTACAGACAAAAAGGCAAATTATTTGTGAAATGTATAAAATAGCATTGTTTGTCCCCTTGTCATTGGTGCCATTACCTACGTATTTTATTTGGTGAATGCAACTGTATGGTCTTCGAAAGACAGAAGTACAAAGTACAGCATGCCACTGGATATCTGATTCTCACCTGATAACCTGATCTCTCCCCAGTAATGAAAAATTCCGTGGCCATGGAAGCCACCAGGAGAAGAGCCCAGCACGGTGCCAATGGGAAGTCCAGTGAAGAGGAGGGGCAGTCTGCACAGTGGGGGAGAGCATGGTGAGACGATGTTATGTCACAGGTTGCAATAGGCAATTTTCTTATATAATTTACTTTATCACAAGTTTATGTGGCTCAGGAGGTGGATTGTCGTCCTCCATTGGAAGGTCGTTGGTTTGATCTCCAACCCCTGCAGTCAACATGTTGATGTGTCCTTGGGCAAGATACTTAACCTCAAATTGCTTCCAATGGCATGGACGGTGTGTTAGTCTTGCTGAGCAGGGCCCCCCTGTATGGCAGCCCCTCTCTCTGTATGAATGTGTGTGAATGGGTGAGTGCTGACTATGTAATGTATATGTAAAGCTGCTATAAGGGGTCGGAAAGACCTCAAAGCGCAATATAAATGCAGTCCATATACCATTTAAACTAGGTCTGAACAATTAATTAAACTGTACTGAAATCACAATCTACTGCAATTTTTAAATCAACTAACATATTCAGCTTTTTCTGCATTTTCAGCTAAATTCAGCAACAAATGTACACAGTTTACAGCATTCACACGCATTTTCAGCAGGAAATGCATTTTCTAGTTATTATTGTTGCTTTGATGTTGTGGTCTCATCTTCCAACACTACATTTGACTTGTTCTGGTAATACTGAAACAACACAATCATGTCTGAATATTTTCTTTGTCTCCCAGCCCAAACTTAAATCTGTGTTCCCATGTGATTCATCCTCAGGGAGGTTGACTGGTTTTCCCTGAGCAGTGTCATAGGCCTCCTCTGCTTCGCCCCTTTCATCGTCTTCTACTTTGTGATGGCCTGTGATCAGTACCAGTGCTCCGTCAGCCAGCCTCTGATTGAGTTATACCAAGGAGAGACCACCCTGCTCTCCATCTGGTCCCGAGCGCCCTCCTTCACCTGGTCAGCTGCAAAGATCTACGCCATCTGGGTGTCCTTCCAGGTAAGAAGAAGAAGCACAAAAAATTAGTGCGGGAGGTGCAACTTGCATAATGTGTCCATTCCAGCTCTTGCTAAACAGGGAGGGATCTTGGCAAGTGTTAAAACAGGGTGTGTGTTCCTCCCGTAGGTGTTCCTGTATATGTGTGTTCCTGACATTACACACAAGTTTATTCCTGGCTATGTCGGTGGAGTGCAGGATGGAGCACGAACGCCTGCTGGTAATTACTTACACACTTACCCATACATAGAAGTCTATGGCCACTAACTAAATAAATCAATATTATAAAGCAGGATATTGATTAACACAATTGTATTAATTTAAATGTGATGCTTCCGCTAAGAAAACAATTGTCTGTTGTGGACTGCATGCTCTCCACAATAATACAAATAAATAATCAAAAAATATTTCGCAGAATATTCTGATGAAGGAAAACCAATATCTTTTTGGGACTCAGCTGATGTTCAATTCACCGGACTTCTTACTGCGGATTGATATGACTGCACATGGTTACTTGATCACAGCGCAATTAGCAGCGGTCTGTTATTGAAAAAGAGCAGACTTATTGTCCAAATTGACCAATCAGAATTGAGTATTCAACTAAGCCATGTAATATAATGTGTTAAATCCACTTTTACTTTAGGAGAGATTAATACAAATTTGTAACAAACAACAAAATGGTATGTTAAAATCTGATCTCCTGTGTTTTAAGGCTTGATTAACAAGTATGAGGTGAATGGGCTGCAGTGCTGGCTGATCACTCATGCTCTGTGGTACGCCAACGCCCAATACTTCCACTGGTTTTCCCCCACCATCATCTTTGACAACTGGATCCCTCTGATGTGGTGTGCTAACATACTGGGCTACGCTGTGTCCACCTATGCTTTCACAAAGGCCTACCTTTTCCCCACGTGCGCTGAAGACTGGTGAGTACTGATCACATTCAAGTTTTATTTAAAATCACAAAATACATTTGTCTCAGGTGGCTTTGCAGTTTGTACAGAAAAAAACATAATAACATTACAACATAGAAAATCCAACTGACAAAATGCTAATGTGAATGTAAAATACAACTAATGGGAAATAATATTAAATAAAATACAATGAAGTATAGCACCCAGGGGGATGTTCAAGGCAACCCTGAGCCAGCCCTAGCTATAGCCTACCCGTTATTTAAAATAAAATTATTGATACACATAATACACAATGATAAGGGGATGGCACCCTTGCTGCCAAGCCTAAGGGCTACTGCTACTAAATCTTAATATAAACATTAATATTTGTAATAATGTACTAGTTAAAAGTCTTCATTATATAATATAAAGCAATATTTCTCTGTGAATATGAGTGGCCATAGATAGCCTTAATGTTCTACATTTTCTACAATTGTTTTCATAATCTTCACAGTGCTTATCAAGATTTTTTCTTTGTGATTCTGCAGCAAGTTCACAGGGAACGTCTTCTACAACTACATGATGGGCATCGAGTTCAACCCACGTGTCGGGAAGTGGTTCGACTTCAAGCTTTTCTTCAACGGCCGGCCCGGCATCGTAGCCTGGACTCTGATCAATCTGTCATACATGGCCAAGCAGCAAGAACTGTACGGTCACGTGACCAACTCCATGATCCTGGTCAACGTCCTGCAGGTAAGGAGGAATACCAATTGCTATTGATGACCCTGAGAAAATATGTGGAAGCAGACACCTGCAAAATGAAATTACACCAAGATATAAAACTGACTGGGAAAAACTCAACTTCTCCGACCTGTTTTGTTGTGTGTGTTTATATTTAAGTTTAGAGTTCTTGACTCTGAGGTGCTGTTTACACACGAGAACACAAACGGTTGTATCCGCTACTTTTCTCTTTCGTATAGCCCGTTCGCTCACACGAGGCCGTAACGGAAAAGATAATGGGTCCCAAGGTGGATAGATCTGCAAACGGAACGCTCTGGGGGGCCAAACGGCTCCGTGGGTACGTCCTATACGATAATTTTCCTGATAACGATGAAGCCATAGCCCCGCCTCTCACTGCTGTAGCATGGTCAGTAGCTACTGTCAGTAGAAGAAGAAGAAGAAGATTCAACTTATTGTCATTACATAGTACAGTACTATGTAACGAAATGGTTTCTTAGGAGCAGTGGGCTGCCATTATGTACGACGCCCGGGGAGCAGTGTAGGGAACGGTGCCTTGCTCAGGGACACCTCGGTAGCACTTGGTCTTTCCGGGACTTGAACTGGTGACCTTCCAGTTGCCAAGCCAAGTCCCTATGGACTTCACCACCACCGCCCTAGCTAGTGCTACTGCTACTGACCATGCTACAGATGTTAGTGCAAAATCTATAGCTCCCCTACCACAACCATCAGCAACAAGTGGACATGGAGAACTTCATGAACTACATGTTGCTAAATCCACCGCGGAGAATAAACAGAAGGGCAACCATGGCAACCATGCTCGGGGGTCTTCTTCGCTGCTTTTGGTGTATTTTGTGGCAGAAGTACAGCGTCTCCAGCGCTTTCGAGTGGTCTCGTGTGAACAAAATACTTTTTTGATATCGTTTCGTTTGCGTTCCCGTGTAAATGGGGTCTTAAGCAGTTTGAGTAAACACTGCTTGTTGAGTCATTGTAGTAAAGGCAAGTTGTGTCTTTTTTTGTGTTTTTTAGGGCCTCTATGTATTGGATTTCTTCTGGAATGAGGCGTGGTACCTGAAGACTATTGATATCTGCCACGACCACTTCGGATGGTATCTGGGTTGGGGAGACTGTGTGTGGCTGCCATACCTCTACACACTGCAGGTAACAAACACATGCATGCATGTTAAAAATGCATAGTAACAATTATGTCATGAATATGAAATGACTGGTCCTTAGTGGCATCGTGTGTAAACACCGTTGTTTTAGTTATGTGGGTCTTCCCTGACACCAACACATCACACCATGAGGACTAATGATTGGCAGCAAACCTGATGGGATCCACCCTTTGTAAAGGATCAAGAGACATGATTTTAACTGCTAAATTCATTAGAAATGCATGTGGACATGATAATCACTTACCTTTTACAATAACAATGCATTTAATAATCAAAATGTTTCTTCAAAAATAAAAATCTGATTTGAATCTAAAATATAAGGGTTGCCCATACAATACACACTGTACAGTAATAACAGTTAGTTGTTAATAACATTAAAAGTACAGTTCTACATTTCATACAGTGCATATTAGTTTCAAAGATATGGTTAAAAATAATATCTATTTGGATGAATTTGCTGCATGGAAGGTTTTTTTCTCCAGCCAAGGCTACTGCCAACCTGTTATTACTTAGCCGGTACACCAGGGGGCCTACCCATTGGGAAGCCCTAAAGTAAAGTTGAAAGTAAAATACAAGACTTCTGTACTAATTTATATTGAACTTATATCCTATGTCTTAATGCCATCCCTTATCAAATACTTGTCATTCAACCAATCATTAGTTTTGCTGTCAAATTCAGCAAGTGTACATTAATGTGATAAATGCTCTGCAGGGTCTGTACCTGGTGTACCACCCGGTGGAGCTCTCCAGCGTCCATGCCCTCGCCGTGCTGTCGCTCGGCCTCGTTGGGTATTACATTTTCCGCTCCACCAACCACCAGAAGGATCTGTTCCGCCGCACCGAGGGCTCCTGCTCCATCTGGGGCAGTAAGCCAACGTACATCGAGTGCTCGTACCACTCCGGTGACGGCGGCCTCCACCACAGCAAACTGATGACCTCAGGTTTCTGGGGGTTGGCCCGGCACCTCAACTACACCGGGGACCTGATGGGCTCCCTGGCTTACTGTGCCGCCTGCGGCTTCGGACACATCCTCCCGTACTTCTACATAGTTTACATGACCATCCTGCTGGTGCACCGCTGTGTGCGCGACGAGCACCGCTGCAGCAGCAAGTACGGAAAGGATTGGAAGCGTTACACTGATGTTGTGCCGCGCCGACTCATTCCTGGGGTGTTTTAGAGAGGGGTCAGCAAAAGGGGAGGCAGGACCCACAGGGGTAGGGGCTACATAGATTCAAACATTGGAATGTATTGTGTGTTTTATATATGTCTAGAAGATAACATACTGAACATTTTACACTACATTTTGTACATTCCAATAATATGTTTTTGTAAATAAGAGCTGGACACACTCTTTAAGAAATATGCAGGTACAGACATTTAAGTGCTCTTTTTTTCCTGCTTCTTAAAGGCAGTTTGATACACCAGTATGCTGCTTCCGTTATGATGTGATCATTTAACATACTTAAAAACTATTTCAATAACAATACAATATATATTTTGGAGCTAGTAAGACCAAGCACATCTTAAACCACCCAAAGCCAATATCAGGAAGAGAAGGAGTCAGTTCTCTAACACACAACATTCTGTGACATTCCCATAATGCACTTTGCCATTTTGATAATCATTTATCAAGACACAACATGGCTGATTATGCTTTCTCAAATATGAGAATTTGAAGTTTCTCTGTTTTATATCTTTGTGAGTTTAAAACCTTTTTGTTCCCTTGTCTGCTGCTCATAATCATAATCAATGATGATGATGTCACTTAGCTCAGGTAGCCATGATGGGGGCTTTTTATCTCACCAAGTCATTTCAAATGAAAGAGAAAAAAATGTATTCATCAATATAGACAATAATATTTTGTTGCTGTCGAAGGGATTAATGGACCAATGGGATTAAGGGTTTCTCTGGCCTGTCTCTTTAAAAAGTGTCATCTCTGTGTCGGATTGGTTTTGTGTGTGTCAAAACATCATATGTGTGCTGTTTGATATTATTTCCGTATGCCAGCACTGCCTTTCCTATAGCAACATAATTCACTTCAAAAGGTTGATATTTGGTTGATTTATTCTGTATGAATACAAGCAAATAAAAAAGGATTCAAGATATGTGTGGGTATGAAAGTCAAATTGGGAAATGTATAACAAACAAAACAGTAAGACATAAATTGCACCCCAGCATGTTATGTTGATGTTCAACACGAGGGGGCAGCAGATGACAGCTAATCCAAGTGGTCAGTTACATGTAAAGAGACTTGTATTTGTATACATATCTCCATAGGTGGCGTAGGTTTACCTAAAAACATACAAACAGCTTAGAATACACATGTTATGGTCCTTTCACTGTCCATTTAAAGCTTGTAAATATGCTTTTGTCATTTACCAAATCCACACCCAAACCACTGCATCATTTGCTTAATGCACTTCTATGTTGTAACACTTACTGTCCTATCATCATTTAGTTTGAGCATTCGTGCACTGATCAACAAAATCTCAGTGGATACTATGAATCAAAAAAGCAAAACTAGAACAAAACCTGCATAAGCATCAAACTTTTTTTGTTTTGTAACATCTTAACCAAGGTCTTCTTCAGGCAAGCTTATTTGTTTAACTTTTAATCAACTGTAAAAATTGTATATATAGCCTAGTAAATCCCTATTTCGTGGGAAATAGTTATTTTCCAGTACAAATATAAAGTTAATGGTGTTAGAAGGAAAGCTTGCACACCATAAAGGGTAACGACAACAATTGAGAATGAAAGTATACCTTCATGGTTGTAGATAAGATATCATTTAGAAACTGCAGGACAGCTTTAAATTGACCTTATGCTGTAGTTTTATCAACGTTTCAATATTAGCAATTCACCTTGAATGTTATCTTTCAAGATCTTTCCTTTAAAAAAGGCATTGGAGTGAAACTACATTGGTATCAAATGCAAAATAAATGTTCTAGGTGCATTATTGTAGGTGAAGACGTCAATGATTGACAGCTTGTTCTCAAGTGTTTTTAGTTATCCATGACACCTGGCAACCTATTATGCCATGTAAGCACCCTCCTGCTCCCTGCACCCCCCCCCCCCATCAGTGGGTCTCCCATATCTGTAATGATACAAGTTGGATGTAAATCAGTTATGATAATGGAAGACTCATTGATTCCCCTTGCATTCGTTCAACGCTAATGCAATATGCACAAGATTCATTGCATTGCATTACATGGGACCACGTTACAGATCATTCTCTTTTCAGGTTAATTGATTCCCAAATTATCCTTGAAGGCGAGGAAATATTGCGTGAGATTGAGGGGGCTCTAATGCTGGGCTTACTCGTTGACAGATAGCATTCAGTGAAAGAGGTGGAAACCTGAAGAAGGGATGATCTTCCTGTGAGGACACTAAAAGCTACGCTATTGAATTTGCAAAAGGAGAAGCACGCACCCATCCATATAAATATCCAGTGTACACAGTAACCATATTGTGGAAGGCCCTTTTTGCAGCTGCACATTCATCTGCACTGACAGGCAGGTGGGGGTCAGGGAGAAAGAAACAACAAAGTTAGGGGAGAGTGAAAGACGACGAGGAGGTAGAGCAGGGGTGTCCAAACTACGGCCCGGGGGCCAAATGCGGCCCATTTTGAATCGGCCCTCAGCAAATTCAAAAAGGATAATGACTTAAGTATAATAAACTTCTGCTTGTCTTATATTATGCTTCTTAAATATATCTGTTCAAATATATTACACAGTATTCATGAGTTAATATACTCTTCATATTTCCTCTTATTATAATCAATCAGAAGCTTCTGTTTTAAGGAATGAGCTGCTAACGAAATTAATGAAACCCTATGGAGAGCTGTGATGTAGGCTGTTTTTTTCTAACAGCATTTTCAAGTATCAAGAATAATTTACCTACATTGGATTGATTTTTCCAACTTATAACTGAACTTATGAGGCAATATACCTCTAGTGAGTGGCCCAGCCTTTCGTATATTTTTCTCTCTGTGGCCCTCAGTGAAAAAAGTTTGGACACCCCTGGGCTAGAGGAATGCGATATACAGAAAGCACAATGGGATACTTGGAGTTGGTGCCACTCCTCATCCAAAGTTGGCTTGATTTCCCGAGGGGCTAAATTAGTTTTTATTGGAGGTTTTGGGGGGTATGAGCGTTGTTGTTGAGAGTCAAAACCCGGGAGGAAAAGGGGCACCTCAGAGGAAAGTACATGATTTGTCAGCAAACTGCGGGCACTGACGATTTGCATGTACCATAAAGTAGAGCAGACCTCTAAAGAGCATTCCAGGACTTTAGAGGTACGCCTCATAACCACACTGCGGTGGGTGAGGTTAGCTTGACTGGCTGCTTGTGGTTGGTGGCAAGAGAGTGATTCTCGCCATCATGATGTTGATTTCTTGTGTTTGGGTTTGTTGGTTACAAATTTGCTAATTTTATTTGTTTCTACTTCAAAGACTTGCAACATAAGCAGTCCATTGTTTTTGATTTTAAAGCCACATTAGCTAAGCGACTCTACGGATGGTGATGGACGGTCATTAGGGTTAGGGTTAGGGTTAGGGTCTGGCCTGTCCACGACTTTGGAAATACATTGAAGGTTCTGTAGGGTCCTGCTGCCCTTCAGGATGTGTTTTCCTGAAGCTCCAGCATGGGGTTGGTTTGAAATAATTCCCCAAGTATTAAATGGGTTGCCATTTGGTACACATGTTTATAGCAGAATACTGACCGAAACCTGCTGGGTACAAGCACAGGGGGCCCAAGACCTTAGGTAACCCTTGGGTCAGAGCCCTGTTTAAAATCAGTGTTAACATTTTTTGTTGTGAAGTAAATCAAACGACCACAAAGAGATTCCACATGTCCGCTGACAACCAACGTCAACAGTTTGTTTTTCAACTGATCTTCCTTCCCTTCCTTTTCTTCTCCTCTGACCTCTGACCTGAAGACGGGTCTGTCCTGCTAGCTAATGGATTGATGAGTCATCCAGGATGACCATCAGACTAAACAAAAAGAGCCACAAGTTGGATACTAAAGGTCAGGGCATGAGGAGGTCAGGGCATGTGGTTAACCCTGGCTTTAACAGAGATAAGATTCCTCCAAAAATGTGAATTTAAATGACTTTGGAAGTCATGATTCGGTCAGATACAGAATCTGAACCCCTGCAATTTAGCAGCAACTTGAACTTTATGGCTCCAGACCAAAAGCACATGTCTTTAGCCGGAATCCAGACAACACGTCCCACCTAGACTCTTAAAAAATCTTCCTCCATTGTGCTCTTCCAGAGATATTGACACAGGTCTTAAATTGAGAAAAGTGGTCCACCAAAATAAGCTGATAGAATCCCACACCTACGTTTTAGGCGTGACTCCTTGTAAGTCACAGAGAGAGTTGAATTAAAAAGGGATTAGGAGCAGAGAAAGTATTAGAGGGATTAAAAAGGATTCCCGGGCCTCGCTACAAATCCATAGCTGATGTGGTAAAAATGATTGGTTGGAGATGCTACATCTCATATTAACAAGGCTTGTGAGGCATGGAGGATCTGTCTTCACACATCAGTGGCCACAGCAGCAGCAACTCAGGCACCAAATTGCTCATATTTTACATGTTTGCAGTGTTCGAGATGAGGGCCTGAGTTCTTTCTCGAGTTGATAGTCAGACTCCACTTAAACAGCTTGAATCCTGCATTGTAAACGCTGAGCCAAATTGAGCTTGACTTAGCTGCAGGGGAACTGCTGTGGCTGTAGATACACTTACTGTTTACCGGATTATAAACAATGCTGAGACGTCAGCAACATTTAAATTAACTCCTGAAAACACAACCGGAGGACAGAAGGAGTCATTTGCTTTTAGTGAACTCACATACACCATAAGGGAGTGTTTTGACGTGTTTGGTTGCTTTGGGGACAGGCAGGTGTGAGGGGGTGTAGTGAACTGTCCGGATGAAGGCCAGTTGTCCAGTGGAAGAGAGTTGGGGTAAGGGATATTGCTGCCAATCTGGGCACAGCACCAAGGACCCATCTGAACGGACCTTCTCACCCTCTGAGGCCTAACCCTGCTCCACAATTTGTGATATTAGCTGGCATGGCATTCAGAGACGATGACTACCACCAACAGTGATTTGGGATTCAGACTGGGTCCCAATTATTTAAGACGTTTAACACGTTTTTTTAAGCAAAATCTGAAATACGAATTTTTCACAAAAAAAACAGTGAAAGTATGTCTCTAGTCACACCAACCAACTGCTGAAAAACAAAACAAAATATGCGCTTTGCTTGACATTCTTGTATGGCGCATGTAGTTGTAAAATGATAATTGCTAATTTACCACTTAAATATTTGCAATTTCTTTAAACAATGGACCCTTATTCCAGACAGAAGTTGACTGCATCTTGCAGATTTTATCAGCTATAGCTCAATCCCGAAACCCATCAGCTATCAGTGTGACAATGATTAGCCTCGGGGGGCTAAGGGGTATATTAGGGGTTCTGGTGTAGCTAGATGATATCTGGGTTAAGACTTCCTCTTCTCAGGGCTCCTCATTGTTTACAGTCCCATTATCAAACTGTGATGGGAGAATTGGTTTGGAAAAAAAGCCAACAAGTGGATTGTTTAACAAGTAAAATAGCAGTTGAGTTTTCAGGTTGCATTGATTTTAGACCATGCATTCTTTCTGCGTGTTTATTTTTTACATGAACTGTTTACCTAAATTCAACCAAAGCCTCCTCAAACATAAATGACCAATACTACTCAGATTAAAACAGTAAACAGGACGCTTCTGTTACCAAACTCTTGTCCCATTGCCTTTACATTCTTCATTCATATGCCGTTCTGTTAAGATAAGCTATGGCTCAATAAGCTAACATGAGCTGATTGAAAACAATGCACCTGATGACCACATATTTGATATTGCGCAAAACAAAACTGAGGCTAATGACAAAAAGTCATCCTTATCAGTTGATGGTAATCTTACCCAAATTTGCCTGGGGTTAAGTATACACTTTTAAACCCAAGAAAAAAAAAACAGGACAAAGCGAAAACATTTCCCACAACCTACAGTTTCTAAAACAAGAGCTTTCTCTGTTCATTTACAGGGACATTTGCCGCTATACTTACTTA